TAACAACCTGTTACTCAATCCCTTGGTTGCATAGGGTCAGGTGGTTTAGAACGAGATAGCAGTGAATGATCCAAATGTTCTATGTATAGCGTGTTCAAGGAGCCAGGCAGCTCGTTGATATTTCCACTGCAGAACGTAACGGAGAGGAACAAAATTAAACCTGAAATATACTTTCAGAATCCCCTGAAAAGAAAACAGAAAAACCTTTGAACTGTCAAGTTTCAAGAGAAACAAGTGAATAGATTAATCCGGTGTTTTCACATGATTACCGCTTCTTACAAAATCTGAAAAGACAAGAATGAGTATTTCCTTGCTCACCTACAAACATAGAACGTTGTCTTGCGTTGAAGAACAGCCGCTCATGAGCTTTGTTCAATGGAACTGCCAACCCAGCAATGAAAGAAAGCTAATGATTCTGCGTAGAGCTGCTCAACTCCCATCATTTTCCTTGAGCTGGTTCCTAAAACGACATAGTGATGGTCACATGAGAACTAACCTCAAGGAAACAGTAGTAGTAATTGAGTAGGAAGGTTTTATCTAAAGAGTTAAAAGCTAAAGGAGTCCAGAGCGAAATGAAGTTGAATCAAGATAATAAGTAAGAAATACTAATAAAAACGAAATATATTAGAGAAAACCAAAAAAAAGAGAGGTCAAAATTTTCAAAAACGTCTCCAAATTTTTATTGGTCCCGACACGAGATTCAAAGATTAAAATCAGACTCTTTGAAGTTAGAGAATAAGTTATTGATATTATGAAGTTTAAGAAAAATTAAGGAATATTAATGATTACAATAATAATGAAGAGAAAGTTGAGATAAAGTGTCGGAATAGGTCACTAGCAAAATCTGATTGACCACATATATCACAGTAAACAACGAGAAACAGAAATGATTAGAAGATCTCAGAAAAAAAACAAAAAAAACAAGGAAACCGGTAAAGATTTGACGATGTTATGAGCTTTGGCATGAAATGAAAAAGAAAATCTGATTGACAATATGAATTCGTTATGATCGACCGCTCTCTCCAGATGGAACACTCAGGGAATGATAAGACGCCGGGAAATTTTTTTTTGTGAAAAAAAACTGAAATCTGTAACCTTTTTTTTTTCCGGAGTTTAAGTTCTAAGCTATTAGTAACGTTCTGAGAACCTTTATTAGTACAAGTGAGTAATAAGTTAAAATTAAATATAATTATATAAGTTAGATGAGTAAATAAGTTATTAAAAAATGTTAATAATAAATAATTAGTAATAAGTTAAATAAGGTTAATTAGTTAAAATAATAAGTTAGTGCTGGAGAAGAGCCATCAGTCGGAGTCTGTTCCGGAGCCACCTGTCGATGAGTCCGGCGACACTATGGCGCTAAGGCGCTCCAGAACATCCTCCACTATGTGGATGGCTTCCTCCTCCTGATGGTTGGCCTCTGGGCCTGTGAAAAAAAATAAATGAAAAAGAATTAAAAACGTACCTATGTTAGTATCGTCGATTAATCGACAGGTCGCCAGCACCTGGTTCTTTAACCTCTTTGAGATGGTTATTGTGGCCTTGTAGGTCCTCGCGAACGTCAGTCGGTCTTTGACGTTTTTCTCCGACAGCAGCGGTTTCTTAGCTGTTCTTCTTGATCGCAATCCATAATCACACAACCTACTACGTATTGTACGAGCTGAACAGGGGTTGGGGTTCAGTTCACGTAGGGTTTCACGCAATTCAAAAGACGTGATGAATGGATTCAGAATAGCTTCCCTTTTAATCAGTCTATCCTCTCGTTCCGTTGTTGCTCGTGCTGCTCCGTTGGTAACAGCTCTTCTGTCCATCATCGGTTGTCCTTTCTTCAAGATGGATCCTACAGTAGTCCTCGGAATCTTCAGAATCCGGCTGATTTCCGATTGGCTGCTTCCAGAAGTATGGTGCGAAAAAACGGCTTTTCTGAGTTCTTCCGATAAAAATTTTCCCCTTGTCATTATCTAAAATTAAAGAGCATAGTTTTCCCTTTAATTTAAAAAAAAAATCATCTAATTCCATGCACAGATAAGAAAGTTATGCATATTCAAATTAACCCCTAATATGGGTGTCACGAAAATGCTCATAACTTTCTTGAAAATCAATATTTTGACCTGAAAATTTTTGATCTGAAAAGCCTGAAAAGTTATCTACCGATCTACCGATCTACTAAATTTTTAAAATTTTTTTAAAATTTTTTATTTTTTTTCTCCCGTATGGGGGGGGGGTGACGAAAATCACTCGCCACGACTGTACTTGGGCAAAAAATAGCTTTCCGATTAAAAGCAACTAACGATTAACTACTCAAGCCTAAACTTTTCGAATCTTTATTGATACATGATTATC